CAAACTGTGGACAGGAGGAGACAGACTATCTATATTAGAGACACTGAGCTGCAGGAAGACAAGAAAACAAAAAGACAAGGAAAAGGAAAAATACAGCTGGTAAATACCATGGCAATTCAAAGAGGGAGGCATATTTTCCCCACTAAGTGATACTAACTGTGGCAATAAATACGTAATAGCAATTAAAAGTTTAGTTACTACATACACCCACAGGCTAGATTACACCCTTTATCTTTGTACATCCTCCCAGTGATATCAGTGGGTATTCTGCTGTAGGTGGGAGGGGTAAATATCCTAAAGATATGGCTATGTACCATAACTAAAAGATTAATTTCACCTTCTCCACCAGTTGACTTCGCAAAGCTCTATTAAAGTGAGTGAAACTAGAGCTTTGCAAATAACTGGTGGAGAAGGTGAAACCTAGCCTGTGGGTGTATGTAGAAACTTTTAATTGCTATTACCTATTTATTGCCACAGTTAGTATCACTTAGTGAGGAAAATATGCCTCCCTCTTTTGAATATGCCATTCTTTTTAGGTGACAAATCTGAGGAATTGTCCCAGATTGAGGTGTCATTGGAAGAGGTTTTGGAACAAATTAATAAACTTAACAGTAACAAGTCACCAGGACCAGATGGCATTCACCCAAGAGTTCTGAAAGAACTCAAATGGGAAATTGCAGAACTATTAACTGTGGTTTATAATCTATCCTTTAAATCGGCTTCTGTACCTAATGATTGGAAGATAGCTAACTTGACACCAATATTTAAAAAGGGCTTTAGAGGCAATCCTGGCAATTACAGACTGGTAAGTCTAATGTCAGTACCGGGCAAATTAGCTGAAACTATAGTAAAGAATAAAATTGTCAGACACATGGATGAATATAATTTATTGGGGGAAAGTGAACATGGTGTCTGTAAAGGGAAATCATGCCTTACTAATCTGCTAGAGTTCTTTGAGGGAGTCAACAAATATGTGGACAAGGGGATCCAGTGGATGTAGTATACTTAGATTTCCAGAAAGCCTTTGAAAAGGCCCCTCACCAAAGGCTCTTAAGTAAAGTAAGTTGTCATGGGATAAAAGGGAAGGTCCTTTCATGGATTGATATCTGGTTAAAAGACAGGAAACAAAGGCCAGGAACAAATGGTAAGTTTTCCAAGTGGAGAGGGGTAACTAGTGGGGTCCCCCAACGGTCTGTTCTGGGACTTATCCTATTCAACTTATTTATAAATGATCTAGAGAAAGGGGTAAACAGTGAGGTGGCAAAATCTGCAGATGATACCAAACTGCTCAAGATAGTTAAGACTAAAGCAGACTGTGAAGAACTTCAAAAAGATCTCACCAAACTAAGTGATTGGGCAACAAAATGTCAAATGAAATTTAATGTTGATAAATTTAAAGTAATGAACATTGGAAAACATAATCCCAACTATCTATGCAATATGAGGAGGACAAATTTGGCTACAACTACTCAAGAGGGAGATCTTGGAGTCATCATGGATAGTTCTTGAAAGAGGTCCATGCAGTGTGTAGCAGCAGTCAAAAAAGCAAACGGGATGTTAGGAATCATTAAAAAAGGGATAGAGAATAAAACTGAAAATATCTTATTGCTTCTATATAAACCCATGGTACACCCACATCTTGAATACTGCATGCAGATATGGTCTCCTCATCTCAAAAAATGTATAGTGGCATTGAAAAAGATTCAGAAAAGGGCAACAAAAATTATTAGGGGTTTGGAATGAGTCCCATATGAAGAGAGATTAAAAAGAGTTGGAATTTTCATCTTAGAAAAGAGGATACTAATGGGGGATATGATGGAAGTCTATAAAATCATGACTAGTGCAGAAAAAAAATCAATAAGAAAAAGTTATTTACTTATTCCCACAATATAAGAACTAGAGGTCACCAAATGAAATTAATAGGCAGCAGGTTTAAAACAAACAAAAGGAAGTTTTTCTTCATTCAACGCACAGTCAACCTGTGGAACTCCTTGCCAGAGGATGCGGTAAAGGCTAGAACTTTAACAGGGTTCAAAAAAGAGCTAGATAGATTCATGAAGGTTAGTTCTATCACTGGCTATTAGCCAGAATGGGTAGCAATGGTGTCCCTAGCCTCTGTTTCTCTGGAAGTGGGAGACAGGGAAGGGATCACGTGAGGATTACCTGTTGTGAACCCTTCCTATGGGGCATCTGATATTGGCCACTGTCAGCAGATTGGATACTGAGCTAGATGGACCTTTAGTCTGACCCAGTATGACCATTTTTATGTTCTTACGTGTGGATCTCCAGATTTCATGAGCTGTGAGTCCTACGCTTCATTAGTTGAATTTGCCATAGGAGTGCCACTACTTCAGTGGTTTCTGTTGTAACAGGACTGAATCCATTTGGATGAAAGCCTAGCCCTGACACCAGAAGGAATATGAGTGTCAATGGAGGTGCACAGCGCTGCTAGAGCAATGTGTTCCCTGGTGTTTTTTCCTGTGGAGATGGTGTGCTACATGCAAGTTGGGCTGCAATGCTACCATCTTTGGTTACATATACAGTGAGTTACAATAGTCCATTCTGCAGGTGACAAATGCATGATTCATAGAAACTTATTGGAGATGAAGATTTTAGTTTACTGGTGAAGCCTGATGTAAAGGTGGCAGACCATGGTGCCAGCTCATGCTAAGGTCACTAGGCCCCAACTGAACACTGAACAACACATAGCTAGAAACCAGTTAGTCTTACCCTCACGTTAGTATTGCTAAAATTGGTATTAGGTTTATGAATCTGTGTTGATATTTAGATTTAATGAAATGCTTGTAAGCTGCTGCATGTATTAATCTCACTGAAAGCTGTACCCATGTTATATAGTTAAAAGTGTTTGCATTATAAATCTCTAACCGTGTAACTCACCAAACAGAAAAGAGGCATAAATTAGTGTAAAGGCTGGCTTCTTATAGAAGGTACTAGATTGTGCACACAAGACAACCAACTGAAATCAAATGTGACATTGTGAAACACAGGACAAATTCTTTGTTGATTAATTTCCTGACACCCCTGAAGAGGAAATTTGCATGTGGACTTGCAGGCCCATATGCAAAAATTTCTGCTGGGGGGGAGGGATTACTTTTTTTTAAATGAGGATCACAATTTTTTTTAAATAGAAAGGAGTTCAAAATAGTCATACAATGAATGTGTATAAGAGAGGTTATTGAAAAATGTGAGTGGAAACAGTGACTGGTAAAACTATTTCATCATAACATGCTAAAAATTTATACAGTAAAAAAGGTTTTATAGAAATTACCTTCTAAAATATTCTAGTCTTCATCTTCAAATTTTTTCAGTTAAACCTATATATTGGCTAGTAGTAGCAAAAAAAGATTTTAGGGTTTTCGCCCAATTACATCCTATATTGGGTGCCCGGGGTGTCGATCGCGATCCACCAGTTGACCTCAAGCCATCAACCAGTGGATCATGAAGCAGCCCAGCAGCCTGTTTCTCCGGCCACCCAAGAGGGCTGTGGCAGAATTAACCCCTGACTGATACAATATACATGTATGCATTCCATGAATCAATTATCTAAGGTCTACTTCAGTCTGAAACTAGAAGCCAAATGCGGGGAGTAACTGGCTCCCCAGTTAGTAACCAATCACTGGGATGGTAGAAATAATAACAGACAAAAGCAGGAACATTCTGAATAGCCTAAAAATTGTAGTCCTGAGACAAACCTCTCTCACCTAAGAAAGTGAATAATGAGCATTGGCAACCCTCCCAATGAGTCTGAACATTCACAAGATATCACCATCCAGATTTAAGTCTCTGCAAGATGCTATTGCTAAGGCTTTCTTTACAAATAGGTTTAGATAAGGTTGGTTATTTTTAATTAATACATTTTATTTTGAAATAATTTTTCATTAACAGAGAAACTATCTCCCTTCCATTTTAAATCAGGTGCATCTTATCTACAAATTTATAATTCCTTTTCTTTTTTGTATATTCTTTTAGCCATGTACTGTTTTAATGTTTAAAAATAAAGTTATTTTATCTCTGCCTGCCCCATCCTCTTGCCTTCTGTCTGTTTCTTATAACTGAAAGGTGTGGTAATTTAAAGGGGGGAGAAAAGACATCTGCTGGGGAAATGCTCAAAACTTGCTATTCAAACATTTCTAAGGCCTCTTGGAAAGAAACTTTGCTCTGAGAACAGCCTAACAAAAGTTATTTGATGACAGTGTCATCTATTTATAACACTTTTCCTCTACTCATTAAACACCAGATATCTCCAGTACAATCTTGTTTGGGGATGTGCAGCAACCAGTGTTGACCTGTTAGACTGATTCTTCTCTTGCACCAATACTATACCAGCATCAGTCCAGTGTCTTAGTGTAATTATTTGTGATTTAACTCAGTGCATCCAAGATGAGAATCAGGCCCTCAATATTTAAACACGGGAAAAGGAAATTAATTCAGGTGCTTTGTGTGCTGTTGTGTGGTCCTGGAATAACAGCTCTACAAGTGGCAACCCTTTATATATCTTCAGAAATAGTATAGTAAGAGCAGTTTCTCCAAACCACCCAACCCTGATGTGCTTCATTCCTGATCTAGATACAAGAAGGTGATAAACAATCCATTCCCACACAAGTCCTGGCCTATCTTCAGAAACCATCCACAACATGGCAACAGGGAACTGAACTGGGACCATCAATGTGTTCCACGGAGAATACTAAATGGCATATTGCAGAAAGGAACAACATTTAGGACTGAACGTCACTCATGATAGCCTGGTCACAGTCTACTCCATTGTGAGAAAAAATTAATCATAAAATATTAAGTATGAAATCCTACCCACTGAAGTCAATGGCTAACTTTCTATGAACTTCAGTGCAGCCAGGATGTCGCCCAAGCTTTGTTGTCATGGTTGGGGTTTTGGGCCCAACTACAATATTAAGTGCTTCTTTGCTTAACCATTAGTCAAGCAGCTATCAATGCTAAAAATGTGTTTATTGTTGTGTACGTACCGCCTTTCATCATTCCCACTTCATAGCACTTTCGCAGTCGGCAGGCCTGGCAGCTCTTTCTCCTGTTCTTGTCAATGGTGCACTGGTTAGTAGCAGGACACATATAGTCATTGTGCCCTGTAAAGCGAGAGGAAAAAAGATAAATTAGAATTACTGAAAAATACACAATCCCTGAACAAAGCAATTTCCAGAGTTCATGTAATACTTTATCTTATTTTTCCCTTTTAAGTATTTTTATGACAGTACTAGTCATAATGAATTTGATAGCTCTGCCCAAAAAAGCATGTTAGGCATATATCTAAGCTTTATTATGGACACATCAGTGGTAATGCTATAGTTAAGACAGAATCAGTACTTCCATTCTAAGTTCCATTTTCAGTATCCCATATCAAAGTAGTATTAGAAATATAATGTGAACACTACCTTAATAAAAGAATAAACACCACAAGTCTAACTGTCAAAACAGAGACTGATGGGCAGGACTCCTGTGTTCTATTACCAGCTCTACCAATAATCTAGTGCCTCAAGCTTATCCGTCTGGAAAATAGGTGAAAAATTTACCTACCTCCCACACAGGTCTGATTGTGAAGCATTGTAAAAATTCTTGGAATGGAAAGAGCTACAGAATATATTTTAGCACTCATAACATTTCTGGGCATGAATGTACATGAAAAATGTACATGGAATCATAAAACATGAAATAGAAGTGCCAGATATCCATCAATCAACTAGTTGCATTTCATATCAAGGTGGGTTTCAACTCAGGTTATGTGCCTACTGGCAAGATCCATCTAAAACACTTATTTATAAATTACAAGTTTTAAAAGTGTCAGTGTTTAATAGAGTATTCCAGAAGTGGTGCCTTTTTACCATGAGTTCCATTCATCTCACTGCATTTGAAACCTGTTGATTCTTGTTACAGATAACTACCATGTATTTAAGTCTGCCACAATAGAGGCTATTACTTTCAATAGGCATGTTTTCTATTCCTAGGAAGAGGTATTAGATTTACACACAAGGACTGTTCTTGTCTCACATATTTAAAAAACCTACAACATTCCAATTATAGAGAAAGTTTGGTGAGGATGGAAAACACTGTCCAAACAGATCTTGCCCAGTGTTCTTTGTTTTTCTAACTAAACAGGACAAGGTACAGCACGAAATGAAACAATTTTACTGCAGAACTGTTTGTTCCTTATTCAGGTCAGGGATCAGTCTGAGGTAGAGTGGGGTGGAGGCTTGACAGAGGCCTTGGTCTCATCAAACCCTCTATCCTTGATTATGCATTAGAAAATACAAAGTAAAAACGGCTATCAGATTACACCAAGAACATCTGCTCTCTCATGCTGCATAATTGGGATCAAATCACAATAAGCTGCAAAACTGTAAACTTGCTAAAATGGTGACAACGGACCCCACACGCTGCCTGAAATAAATAGGCATACTAATTATTAGAATTAATATTATTTATAAGCCCTGATTAATAGAGTGGTGTGACTAGAATGACCTGAATCTGCAGGCTGTGCTCCAGGACTGAGCTAAATAAATATTTCAGAGAGACTACCTCAATCTAAGCAAGTCAATTTAAAATGTTCACTTCCTTCAGTGAGTTCTATATCTGATTCAAAACATTTCACATGTAAAAAAGTCAAGTTAGAAAAAGAACAGTTCCAGCAACATAAAGATGTGGTATCTGTTAGATAATAAGTAAAATCTCATTGCATCTGGTCAAGTTAAACAGCAGCAGCAACAAAAAATCACTGCAGATCTTTTTCCCATACGGCCAACCTCAGTTTATAAACCGAACGTAAGAGTTCTGAAATGGGGAAGAGAGAGGAAGCCCACACCCCTTAATGCGAGTTATGTGTGTTATTGTAGGTGCTGCTTACCTTGACTGCTAACGATGCTGACTTGCTCTGATAGCAGTCAAAAGGTCCAACTGACATCTGAATTAGGAGTAGATCCTAGTCCTTCAATTCAGCAAACTACTTCATAAATGTATGACTTTAAGAAGGGAGGTAGACCCATTGAGGTCAAAATTAACATATGTTCAAGGGTTTTGCTAAACTGGGGTCTAAATGGTTAATTTTCCCATTGTGGATGTTTTTAGAGATATCATAGGTTTATATTACTTAACAATTCTTTTTAAGTCTACCTTATTAATTAGTAAGAATATAGCATTCAGTATAGTTTACACTTTACAGAGCCATTTACAAAATATGGTACCTCATGCAAAGAGCCTGCATTCCAGTTACAGATGTGAAATCACATGCAAGGATAACAAACATTTGGGAGGGCAGGTTTGAGGGAGCACAGTGGCAACAGCAGCAAGTTTTTCAGTTTAAGTCCAAATGGTTCTCTCTCATGATCATGCAATATTTCTTGTTATGCACATTGTTTGAAAGGCATTAAAACTAGAGCTGTCAACTGATGTGCATTAACGCCTGCGATTAGTGCAGGGAAGGATTAATGTGCTAATTTTTTAAACCATTTATTACAGGCATTAATTTTGCACTGCTCTGGCACTTCAAAGGGGCAGCGCATTAGGATCCTGGGGTCAGCTGGAGTCCCCAGCTGATCCCGGACTCCATGCAGCACTGCCACTTTGAAGCGTTAGTCCGACACTTCCAAGGGGCAGCACTGTACGGAGCCCGGGGTCAGCTGGTGAATCCAGCTGATCCCCGGCTTCTGCAGCACAGGGGATCCAAGTGGCAGCACTGCACCGACCTAGGGTCGCCTGAGGTCAGCTGAGAACTCCAGCTGATCCCGGGCTTCTGCGCAATTAATCGCGATTAAATTTTTTAATCGCTTGACAGCCCTAATTAAAACACGTACATTGTGAACTGGACTCTCTCAAGTGTCCTTAGAAGTCATGAGGCAAATGTCTAAGTAAAGGCCCATGGCACTTTTTAAAGACCTGCATTGAATAGTACTATGAGGTCCTGTCTGACAGACAATAAACTGCAGACCATATTAATGATTCCATTTGGATGGATAGGAAGGCTGCAAATAGTGTAAACAGTAATGGTGGTTATGCATGTGGACACCTTTCTACAAGAAATTTGACTGAGATCATCAGTTCATTTCACGTAGGCTCATAAACAGCCACGAGAAGGTACTAGCTTTCAGTCACTGGACTTAAATTAATAGGCTATCCTATTATTATTCTGTGGGCACGCTCACAAAAAGTTTAATTTCTAATATGATGGATGACAACTTTCACTGCATTCAAGGAAAAGAAGAATCTATTCCTGAAATTATGTAAATGAGCTCAAAAGTGTTTCATTTAATTAGTTTGGTCACCACACATACACAAAACCTAAACTAACTGAAATGAACGTAGATTTCACTACAGTAGCACAAAGGTTTCAGACCCTTTGTATAATTAGGGTGTGTCTAGACAGCACCCTTCTACTGCGATAAGCTACACAATTTGTGCTACGCAAATTGACTAACTTATTCCAAGTGTAAATCAAAAGAGCTTATTTTGAAATTTGGTGCTGTCTACACAGTGCCAAATTTCAAAATAAGGCATTATTCCAACAAATCCCTTCATTTCGTAGAACAAGGGCTACAGGGATGCTTGAATAGCACACCCGCTATTTCAGGAAAAAGCAGGCACTTTTTAAGACGTGAGTATTTCGATACTTCTGATATCTCAAAAGAGCATCTCAGTCTAGATGTACCCTTAGATACTGTCACCTTGTTGTGTTCCACAGCTCTCACATATTTAATTTAAAGCCACTGAAATTATAAAAACAACTAGGAGTCTTTATTTAGGCATAAGCTTTTGTGGGCAAAGACTCACTTCATCAGATGCATCTGATGAAATGGGTCTTAGCTCATGAAAGCTTTTGCCTAAGTAAATCTGTTAGTCTTAAGATGCCACAGGACTCCTTGTTGTTTATGAAGATTCAGACTAACATGGCTACCCTTCTGATACTTGGAATTATAAGAGACAGGTATATTGATGCAGTTAAACCGATTAAAATTATAGTGGTAACAAAATATCAATTCTGCTAATGTAGGCCTCGTGTTTATTTTAAATGTCACTATTTCACTCCATTTGTCACCTCAGTTGCAACAGGATAGTAGATTCTCTGGCACAGCATTGGAGATACAAAGCTATTCTATGGACCCATCTTGACAGTCACATCAGATGTATTACATTAATCCAGCTAAAAAAGGTAAAAACGGGCATTTCTCTAAGGCAACAACAGACTCAGGTTGAGACTAAAATTTTGTAAGGCAAAACCCTAGATTTATCTCAGATATTCATAGTAAGGTTTATATCTGTTGTCTTGATTTAAGAATAAAGGAGAAGCCTTGGGAAGGTGGTGAGATGCCGGTCCAGTGCATGCATACACAACCAATGAGTGTTGAGAACTGCCAGTTCACACCTGTCTCCAACAGTTTTTACTCTCTCTCTCAATAAATCCTCATTTTGATTTCAAGAGGTCACTGGTTCCTGACAGTCCTCACTAAATAAAGGAAGATCACACCTACTTCCCTGACAACTGCTCACACTGTGTCCTCAATGAAATACACAATTTGGTTTATCATCTATTATATCCACAATACAAACCGAAAGCCCTTGGATTTTGAATGAAATGCTGAATCACTTTGTTTTTTAAATCTACTAAAAGCTATTTATTGTATGGAAAATGAAGTTTGTAATATCTGATGAAGGTTGTATAAATTCATTATTTCCTTTTCATCTAGTAAGCAATTAAGGAAAGTTTAAAAAGTGCCTTTGTCGTTTATACATGTCTTTGCTGCATAGTTTCACTCTAAGAAACAAATTGGGATATTCAGCTACCGTGACATGAAGCCAAATACACAGAGCGAGAGAGAGAGAGAGAGAGAGAGAGAGTCAGCAATTTCAGACCAGTCATTAAGTCATAAAATAGATTGGATATGCACACCTGCTTTAAAAGGCTGAACTGAAGTCAACTTATATCATGTAAAGGTATGACAAACATTCTGAGAAAAGCAGGACAAATCATACAAATCAGTTGAGTTCTCTGGAGTAAGAACGAAATTAGCCTTTGCAGGTTCATTTGAGGGTTCAAGTTAAATTCTAAGCTCTTCTCTGGAGCAGCCATCATTTTGTTCTC